AGGTGGGGTGATGCCATGGCTGACATCAGGACCAGCTGTGATGACTAATGCCCTGCCCTGGCTCTGACCAATCAGTAGTGAACAGGACTCTGAAAGGACATACCAGGAAAGCTGATATGAGATCCTCCCCTCAGATCCCACCTTTAGAGAGTGGATAAAACGCCTCAGGACAGAGGACCCAGCAGGCTCATTCTCTCCTCCCCCCATATTATTGAAGACTACAGACAAGCCCCAATGCCTTTCCCCAGGGCCCACACCTAGCATAGCTCTGCCTTTCCCTCTCTTCTCCCAGGTGCATTCTCTCTACTTTTCTTTTTCTTAAACTCCTAGGGCCCTTCTTTTGCCTCTGTAACTTGTTTCCTGAGTCCAAACAGAGCTCAGATGAGAGACCAGGTTCCTCTGCACAGAAAGAAGAGATTTGGGGGAATAAGTGTTCCCTTAAACAATTGGGAGAGGTAACCCTTAAAATATTTGATATTTTCCAGTCATTCTTATGGCATCCCTCTATACCAGTAAAGCTAGGGAATGTAGTCTTTTGGGGAAAAAAAAAAGTGAAGATATTAACCCATGGGACATACACCTAGTCTATTTATATTAATTAGTGAATATGGTGGTAAGATACAATATGTCCATGAATTGACTTTCAAATTTGATTCAAATCCAATAAGGTTGATTGATATATACTAGTATATTTTTAAATATATTTTTATTGATTTCAGAGAAGAAGGGAGAGGAAGAGAGAGATAGAAACTTAAATGATGAGAGGAAATCATTGATTGGCTGCCTACTGCATGCACCGCCCCCCGCCCCCCCACCAAGCCCGCAACCCAGGCATGTGTCCTTGATCAGAATTGAACCCGTGACCCTTCAGTCCATAGGCCGATACTCTATCCACTGAGCCAAACCAGCTAGAGCTGATATATTTTTTTAGATTTTAATCCTTAGTGTCAGTGTCTTTAGATTTCAAGTTCATATTGCCATTGAAATTCTATTTAGCTTTATGTAGGAGGAAATATTTTAACGGGACATCAGTCTATATCTAAACAGTGTCCCTGATGTTAATATGTATCCAAAAATGCATACTGTTCGAAATACTGTATTCAAGAGATACACTATTTAATTCAGATTTGTGATCTTAGGCATTAAAAAAATGTTAATATAGCTGAGTTTTAACTGGAATGTGTGTCATTTGATAGTCCAATTACAAGTTCTGTTATAACAAGAGCTACTGAAACTTGTTTTCATATTAAAGACCTCCAAATCCAAAGGAGAATGTTGCTCATTTTTCTATGAACTTTTTTTTCCTCCTGGACTATTTTATGGAGAGGGTTCGCTGGGGGGTTAATTTGAAACTTAGAACATCAATCCCTTGTTTATTTCCTGAGTGGGCAAAAAAAGAGAATGGTGGGATGTCTTAGTTAAGAATTACCCATGTCGAAACTGGTTTGGCTCAGTGGATAGAGCGTCGGCCTGCGGACTGAAAGGTCCCGGGTTTGATTCCAGTCAAGGGCATGTACCTGGGTTGCAGGCATATCCCCAGTGGGAGATGTGCAGGAGGCAGCTGATCGATGTTTCTGACTCTCTATCTCTCTCCCTTCCTCTCTGTGACCCTTCCTCTCTGTAAAAAATCAATAAAATATATTTTAAAAAAAAATTACCCATGTAGAGACTGAACATATATTTTAGGAGGAATATGAGTAAATATAAGTTCGTAGGCAGAACTTATTTACTGATAGGGCAATGGCCCTGTGGATAACTTCTAGGTTTATGGAGTCATTGAATTTTCAGGTAAGAAATTAATAATGAAATGATTAGGAATTCCTGATACTAGAAGTAACACTTAAATCTTGTTGGACAAATTTTCCTCAGATGAAAAACTGCAGCTAAGGTTTTGGCCACTTGGTACAGTTGCCTCATTGATGCACTGCTAGAGTTCAGTGGTGACGGCTCAGGTCGGCTTCTGGGCTAGTCTCTAGAGCACTGTGTCTGTTCTACGCACAGTCCTTTGGAAGCCATTGTAGTTGGAAACACTTAAAACAGTAGCTGTGAAATTGGTTCAGGATCACTGAAAAGATGGCCAGCCCATATTATTGAAGACTACGGACATGCCCTGGTGACATTCCAGAGCATAGTTTTCTGTGGTTTTCATGACTCTTTTCCTGTCTAAATGAGAAAATGGAGCTCTGGGTAGTAATCACATCTTCCTGTTTATCTAACTTTTAGCAGCTTTATTGGCATATGTAATTCCTATACCACACAATTCACCCATTTAAACTCTCCAATCAGTAGCTTTTAGTTATTCAGAGTTGTTCATTTGTTACCTTAATCAATTTTTGAACATTTTCATTAGCCTAAGACGGTAACCTGCATAGTTCAGCTATCAATCTGTTCACTTTCCAAAAGAAAAAAAAAGGACTTTTTCTGGAAATCACATAGCAGCCTATATATAGTAAGCTAAACTATTAGCAAAGATAGTATAGCTGTTGTGTGATTTTTATGTAGTAATGAAATATCATTCATTTTGTATCTGAGGAATACTAGCAATAAATGTTCTATAACACAGTGTGATCATGAGCATGATATCCGTTGCCATATTTTACTGGTTAGAAGCAAGTTACAGGTCCCATCTGTGCTCAAAGAGGAGCTTACACAGACGTGTGAGCACCAGGAATGTGGAGCTTAGGGACCCCCGCAGAGCCTCTCTGCCATCGCCCTGAATTGGTGAATACTTCAAAATGCCGCTTCCAATTTACACACAATTTTAATTACCTTTCTTCAGCTCCCTCAGCTGTAAGCTGGTGCTGTATATTTCACCAGTGGTTAAACTGTACCATACAGATGTGTTTACTTGCCATTGATCATAGAACAATAATCACTCTACATGGAACTTTTTGATGCTAGAATATTTCCTGGCTTAATTTGTATACTTCATGGAAGAGATTACTGAGGAAATTAGTCTCTGGGCTTGATGTACTTGCCTGGATCTGATTTCCATCTTAAAAACTTCATTCAGGCTTCACGGCTGTTCCTGACTGGTCACTTAGGCCACTGATTTCCGGGCTCCTGTGACTAGATACTAGAGTCTGAGGAACACTGGTGAAAGTATTTGGAAACTGGATGAGTGAAGGCTGGTGTTATGACATGTTAGTATTGTGATTTGAGAACCTGGTTTTTGGTATGCTAGTTCACTAAGTTGTTATTTTGACAGTGTCTTGGCTATTGTTATTTTTTCATCTTGAAGAGGTTTTATTTATTTTTATTGTGGTATAATTGGCATTATATTCATTTCAGGTACATGATTTAATGATTAAATATTTGTGTATATTGTGAAATGATCACCACAGTAAGTCTAGTTAACATCCATCACCAACTACAGTTACAAATTTGTGTATGATGGGAACTTTAAAGATCTATACTCTTAGCAACTCTCAGATATATAATACTCTATTAACTATAGTCACCATGCTGTACATTACATCCCCAGAACTTGTTTATTTTATAACTGGAAGGTTTTACCTTTTCACCAAATCTTGGCTATTATTAATATTAGTGTACCTGGTTATTCTGGAGCACTTTTAAAATTCTAAATATTTTGAGAACCTTAAAAAGAGCTACAAAAACCAAAAAATCTGAGAAACGTTCATAAATGTTGGAAGAAGAAAAATAAAAAAAAACCAAGCATATAAACTTTTGTTTGTATCTCCAGATGAGATTTAAAAAGAGATTCTTTTTTTTTTTTTAAATATATTTTATTGATTTTTTACAGAGAGGAAGGGAGAGGGATAGAGAGTTAGAAACATCGATGAGAGAGAAACATCGATCAGCTGCCTCCTGCACACCTCCCACTGGGGATGTGCCCGCAACCGAGGTACATGCCCTTGACCGGAATCGAACCTGGGACCTTTCAGTCCACAGGCCGGCGCTCTATCCACCAAGCCAAACTGGTTAGGGCTAAAAAGAATTCTGATTATTTAATAGGAAATTAAAAAAATGTAGATGATACTTAGTGGAATGTTTTTCTTTAATGTATGTTTCACTCTAGTTGATGCAGTTTATTCCTACACATTGCAGTGTATGTGTATGTGATAAAAGAGAGAGACACACACACATAGACAGAGGGAGTGAGAAATGAGATTGATTTTTTAGTTTTAATTGGATTTTTTTTTTTTTACGAAGCATGGTTAGAAGTTAATATGTTCTCTAGGTTGGAATTTTGGAGGTAAAGTTTTTATTTAATGAAAATCTGTAATGAGTAAGCGCTCTTGTCTATGAATTATTTATGTTCACTCCATTGCTTTATCTAATGAACAAAGGCTAAAAGTTTCAAATTTGAATAGCACATGGCAGTTTCATCTTAGAGCCAGCGGAATACTCATTTAACTATCCCCCTCCCTGAGCATGGCATTATCATGAACACGGCAGTACACTGAGGTGCTAGTTCCTAAACTCTGCCAGAATCACCTGGGGATCTTTAAAAATATGGTTTCCTGCCTCTTGTCCCTAGATTTTCTGATTTAATTGCTGTAGGGTCTAAAAAATTCTCCCCAAATGATTCAAATGTGCAGCAGAGTTTGTGAACAGCTGCACCAGGATTGTGAACCTGGAATAAATAATATTGGGTGAGGTAGGATGAGAACTTTTTGGAAATGGGGCTTATAGCTCTTGGGATTCCACATTTGATAATACAGTTTGCAAAGTTTGGAAAAGATCTATATTTGGAAATAAAAACTGGTGTGCAGAATTAGTTTCTTCAATAAATGAAAATTAGTTTTATAAATCCCATTAGAGCTGTGTTTATGGATTACCTAAATTTCAGCCTTTCTTAATTCAGTGTGTAAAAAACCAAGATAATACAAACAAAAAACTCCCCAAATCTGGAGGTCAGACTGTTTTAGTAAATTATGAGAAAACAAATTTCCCACACATTAATCGCTGCTAGCTAAAATAAATAAGTCAAACCATATTTAAACTGTGGAAATTGCTTTTCAATATTTTAACAGAGAGAGACTGAGAACACACAGCATTGAATCGTCAGGAAAACTGAAGATCTCCCCTGAACAGCACTGGGATTTCACCGCAGAGGACTTGAAAGACCTGGGAGAAATCGGACGAGGAGCGTATGGTTCTGTCAACAAAATGGTCCACAAACCAAGTGGACAAATAATGGCAGTTAAAGTAGGTGAAGCACATAATTATTTTTGGAACTTTAATCTGTAAGGTGCAGTTTCTCGATGTAGTAATACTACTATTTTGTTCTTTGTGTTAAATGTGGGTGTCCATAAAATTGTTTCTTCGAATTCTTTGAGGGTGTTTTGTACAGAGGTTGTCTTATTGGTGGCACGTTTTCTATCTCTCTGAAACCATGAGTGTATGAAGTATGCATGTTCGCTGCACTTTTGGCATGATGTATTAACATGTTTTAAACTTCAGGCCCTTCCACGGCCCAGGTGAGTTCAGGCCGGGCGGCTGCACCCCTGGGAGCAGGGCAGTGCTGCACTGAGCCAGGCGGGGAGCTGGAAGAAGAGGCAGCGCACTGGGTTGGGCAAGGTGCGGGGCTAGGGCTAACAGCAGTCTTACTGAAGGTTTCCTGGAAACCACGCACATGCTGTTGCCACTAACCTCAACCTTACTCGGTCCTGACCGGCTCGGCTTCTGTTTGTTTATTTCATCTCCACTCAGTACTGCCCTGTTCCCTGGTTTGGAAGATGTATTAAAATGTATACCTTGTGATAATGCTGTCACATTCTGTCCTTATTGTGAGTGTCATGCCACTTAATATGTTCATTAAAAAAAGAATCAAAGAGTGGCCAGAAATGGAGATTGGCCCATAGATTGTACCTGGCAGGCTTATGTTGGCACCTGTAATGAACTGATGGTTTCCATCCCACTCTTAGTTGGCCCATATAATTGTAATTTGTTCACTTGTTTGTTCCGATGTTTAATGAATATTTGCTCTGTGTAAGATATTTTAGGAAAATTGACAGTTGGGGTGGAGGGCAATTTAAAGAAAAGTAAGAAAATAAGATATGGATATATTGTCATTGAATTTAAAATTCTTAGAGTGATAAATAATGTTCGAGTTTGTAAGAATTGAGAATGGGTTTGCAGACTAAGCTGTCTTCTTGTTAATTCCCTATTTTGAGAGTTTATAAAGTAGTTTGATGAGAGGAGGAGCCTCAGTTTCTTGCTTGATTTTGGGGAGTGGATTTATATTACATTAATATAAAAGGCTGCCTGTGTTGAAGTTTATTGTGAGCAAAATGTTACTATTTTAGCCTCCTTCATTGTTGAGCATTTCTCTTTGCTGGGTCATTAAAAATAGTGAGAAATTAATGATGGAAAACTGATTTCTCTCTGTGGGTTCTTATCTTGGTCATATTTTCCTATGTGATGAGATCTATAGACTTTTTCTCAGAAAGGTGCAGACATGTATGAAATTTTGCATATAACCTATAGACCTCTAAAGATGAAGATGCTAAGACCTTTGCTCTGGATTATCTGTTGAAATAAAATGTTGTTTTTCTTAGAATGAATTGTTTCTCTTTTGATTTTGTGCCACTGCAGAGAAGTGGAAGGAAAGTCATTTTATTTAGACTCTTCTGCATGAGTATTGCATTGCCCCACGTTGTCTGTTCATATCATCCGCTTTTACTTAGCTGGGCCTTAAGGGAAATCTGCCCTCTGTAACTAAGTTCTAACCCCTCCCCCCGACCTCTCCACCCCCAACACTGGAGAAAGCACTTTTAAGTAATCGTGTCCTGCTGTTTTCAGTGTGTGCTGTGTGTGTTCCCCTGTGCTAATTCACATTGGGATCTGTTTTAGTAATCTGGACTGGCTTAGTCACAGTTAATCGGTCTTAAAGGTAAATAAAGAAGGTACTTCATTTTGACATTAAAAACGTTTTTCTTAATTTGATAACCTTTGGAACTGTATAATGCTGACTCAAGTTTTGAAGGAATTTAAAAGTGAGAATAGGAAATTGTCGCCATTTGTAATTTGACCTTATTTTGAGAGCCTCTGTTGGGATGCTGTTATGCATATGTGCATAACCCATGGACACAGATAGTAGTGCTGTAGGCGAAGGGGGTGCGTAGGGGAAGTGGGGGGATTAAAGGGGAGAGAAAAAGGGACATATGTAATACTTTGAACAATAAAGATAAAATTTAAAAATCCCAACTCTTGCCCTGGCCAGGGTGGTTCAGTTGGTTGGGTATCATCCCATGCACCAAAAGGTTGCTGGTTTGATTCCTGGTCAGGACACATGCCCGGACTGTGGGCTCAATCCCTGGTGAGAGCATGTAGGAGGCAGCCCATTGATATGTCTCTCTTCACATCAATGTTTCTCTTTCTCTCTCCCTCTCCCTTCCTCTCTCTCTAAAAATCAGTAAAAATATATATTAAAAAACAACAACAACTCAACTCTTAAGAAATACTTTTAAGGCAGTCTTGGGACCTACAGACTGGTAATGGTCACATTTATGACCACTGTTTGATACCCTGAATTCTTGAGCATGTGTGATAGTTTAGCATGAGGAGGGTGGTAATATACATATTAACCAATGTATTGGTAAGGTGTACTTGATGACTGATATATGCCATCTATTATTATATAATACAATATATAAATACATATATTGTTGGTCTCTTTGAAAAAGCTTAACCTTTCATCACACCTAAGACAGTTTGTTCCCTCATTCCTTAGGCACACAAGCCAGATTAACAAGTACAAATACATAGAAGCAATGTATGAGTAAGGAGTTAGATTTGACCTTGTACATGTAGAAAGTGAGTTACTGAGCACCCACTGTATTTAGCTCTGAAAGTGGGACTGTAGAGATATATAAGTGAACTATGAGACCATGGTCCAAAGTGCTGTAAGTTTTCCATTGCAGCGGGTGAAATGAGAAATACACTTGAAGTAGCCCTGTACGAGTGTTTTAATGTGCACTTTGGGACTTTAGAAGGATTACTTTGTTAGATATTAAGCTTATCCTGGAAATCATCCTTAAGATTTCCTTGCAGTATCTATACAAAGATGAATTGTGATATTAACCTGATAGTTAAATAATTATTATCTCTCACTTTTAATTTTGAGGGAGGGAGCCCTTCCCCAAGTTTATTTTGCCAAATATAAGAAATGTTTGAAAAGATGACTTCTTAATTACCAGAAATAATTACCTCCAAGACTTAATCTAAAAATCAGTTCAGATATAATAAATCAGATTCAATAAGATAACATTGTAAAAGTTATACTTAAAATAATGTTTTGACCTTTGACCTGAGGACAGTCCCTGAAGAATTGGAAAATTTTAACCCTTTAGTTTTAACTGCACACACCTGAGGAAACGGCCTCCTTCTTTTTCTGCATGGTGGTGACAGGCCTGGTTTACATCTGCCTGAATGACAGCGTCACAGGGCAGCCGTGGGCAGAGCCCTTGTCACCAGAGGGTCTTCTAGAGCTCAGGAAGGACAAACTTCGACTGGCTGGGTACTCCCGACTTTGATCAGCATCCTCTGCAGATAGCATTTTATGCCCATTTTGCATGATCGTGGGATAGCCACTGAATGAAGACATTAGACATGTTCATCGCTGTCCTGTAACAGTAAAGCAGGTGCCTGGCTAGCTCTCTGGCAGGATTAATCATAGAAAAAGCCCAGCATTCAGAGCAGACGTTGGAAGAAGCACTCGGGATTAGCTTTCTGAGCCAGGATTAGAGACACCCAGGAGAGTTAGGTCCACGGGTGATCAGAATCAGGACACAGGAGTGAACAGTTGGAGAGAGTAGCTCAAGAGCTGTGGTTCAGGCCTGTGGGCTGGACTTGAGTAGAGTGACACACACATTGCTGACAGGGAGGCATGATCTTCGGGCCTTGACAGGGAGCCCCCACCTGGCCCTGCCTGCAGTGTAAATCCTGCTTGCGTAGACTACCAGCTTTCCTAATGTTTCCTAACAGACTCGTGTCCAGGTTGATTTCCTGAAGGCATGCATGCCCTGTTCCTATTTGTAGGCTATGAGAGAAGAAACAGAGGAGAGTAGAAAAGAATGAAAGTGAGAGGGAACATAAGGGAATGAAATTGCTGAGACTAAAAACGGAAGGCAATGGGATTGTTATTTGGAGGGTTAATGCTGAAATAAAGCTGTGATCTCCTTGGAGATTGGAACTAATATTGGACAGGTAGGTAGGGCTAGGAAGTTATGTTAAGGCTGTCACCATTGATCATTATGAGGACCTTTTAGTCATTTACTTGTGAAGTTACCTGGGTTAATCAGAAAGTCAGATTGGCTGTTTAAGGTTAGACCAGACTGCGTAGGCTAGACTGAATTTGTGATGTGACCTTGTATTTAAGGGTTCAGATGTGTTCTGTTTCTTAGTGATCTAACTTTTCTTATTTCTTCAACACTCAGTGTTTTCTCTCTACTCTTCCATCTCTCCTGTTGCTTTGATTTAAGTCAGTGGTTCTCAACCTTCCTAATGCCGCGACCCTTTAATACAGTTCCTCATGTGTGGTGACCCCCAATTTCATTGTTACAAATTGAACATAATTAAAGTATAGTGATTAATCACATAGGCGACCCCTGTGAAAGGGTCGTTCGACCCCCAAAGGGGTCGCGACCCACAGGTTGAGAACCGCTGATTTAAGTGTTCCTGATCCTGGGCTGGTAACCTGACCTCGATTCCTGCATTCCTGCTTCTCTTTGGTGTTTGGATCTTGACTTCAGTGTCCTTGACCTGGAATTGAGACCTGTGTTAACCCCTAGGACTGCTGGGAAGAATCAGAGCCCTGCATCTGACAGTATCAGCATCCCACCGCTCAGCCCTCCCCTGAGCAGTGTGGGGTTTCATCTGCTCATTAGGAAGGGCTCCTTGGTGCAGGTGGTACTGCCAGTATGGGATGGCAGGGGCCAGCAAAGTATAGCTTGGCTTGTTTTCCCCACCACTGCAGGGGCCCTGCCATTTCTGTTGGAAGTTCCATTACTGAATAATTTAGGTGGGGAGTGTGAGCATTATTGGAGAAGGTTCATTTTAGTCTTTAAACATTGGTGTTGCACATTGTTTTGAAAGTGCTAGAATGATATTGGAAAAGCTTTTTTCTGATAGTATGGAGTGCTTTGTTAGGAAATTTGGTTGAGTTTTGAAGGCCACAGTGCTGGTGTTTGATTATCCAGATCATT